CAAAGAATACCTCTTGTATAGTGCCAATAGCTGAAAGTGGAGGTAAAGAGTAACAGGGCCCTCGCACTACGTCCGGAGAAATATTTTAAGTAGTGCCATTTACGACACTAGCGCCATCTAGTTAACGCAACGACGGACCATGGATACTACAAATTTTGGGTTAAAAAGGAAATGTTTATAAATATTTCTTACCTTTATTCTCAATAGCCAATAGTGATCTATATAAAACAAAGCATTTACATAATATATTTTATTTATTACAATATACTAGCTTTGTAAACCACATTTACCATAGTGTAAAATATATAGACATTCGCGCTGCTACATTGTATATGTCGTCGCGGCGTCGCGTGTCGCGGAATTCTGCTCATGAATATAGGCCTCTAGCATGGCTTGAAACTAGTCGAGTATCTCGTCAAATAACGTTACGTTACGTAACGTTAGTAAGCCGAAAACATAATAATTAATTTAGAATGTCTCACGAAATTTATAATAAAGATATGAAACGTTATTTATAAGAAGCCACATATGTATGTTTATCCGTTACTTATATGAAGGTGGTAATGAATGGTAAAACAAAGCAATGGATGTGAAAACATCGATAATTATCTGAAGAGGTTGGATTGAGATCGCCCTATATACTTAGATTGGGCGATGCTTCATAAAAAGTTGTTTGACGAATAGACAATAGTCAGGGGCATAGCTACCACCTTATCTGCTGAATAAAAAAAATTAATAGACACTTTCGAAAATTCATTTTACAAATGTAAAACATTTTTGTATTTAACTTAGCTTAAGTTTCTGCACTGATTGGCGTCATGCGTTGGTGTCGGCCATCGCTGAAAATCAACGCCGCGACACTGTCTCGTATGGGGTCGCTGCATAATGCTGAGCGAGGGCCATTTCGCGTGCTTGGACGCATATTACCTTTATTTTTATTATTGTTCGTTTTGTGTCTTTTATGCGTCCCAGACGCGAATAAATACTTTTTGTTTGTTTGAAATGACATAATTAAAAAAAAAGACATTTATTTTTCCCGCCCAAAATGTGTGTTTAAATCTGTCAATTCCCTGCACCGCTTTCAGCAAGAATCGGGATAAGTTTGCCAAAGAAGAGAAAGGAGCAATCTGTACTTAAATTATATTTATTGTTTGAAAAAGGTATTGTAAAATAGGACGGATAAATAAGAGAGAGAATGATGACAGCAAAAAAATCTCTCAAAAAAAGTATTTGTTTTTTCCCGCGCAAATTGTGCGTTCTAAGTTGTAACCCTACATCGTTTTAGCCAAGTATTGGGATCCGTTTGCCAAAGAAAAGGAAATCTGTATTTAAATTGTATTTTATTGTAAAGGGCTGGTTTTTCAATAGTCGGTAGTAGATAAATTAACTAAAAATCGCGGGTTACTCAAGTGAGAAAAGCTCGACTAGTTTCGAACCACAGGGGGTTCTTCCTCATGAGCAGCGTGCGTGACCATCAACAGCACTGCAGGATCCAACGCTAACCAGTAATTAAACATAGTCGGATAAATGTTATCTGAGAAGTAAAATTGTTGCTGTCACTGTCTTATACAAACATTCTGACGCGACAGCATCATAATAAAATTATTCCACAGGTAACTTTTATCTAACCATTGAAAAATCAGTCCTAAATATTGTGGAATTTGACGGAGAAAAAATTATTTCTCAATAAACATTGTAAAATGTGATGTTTAAGTAATTGGGTAGTTTCCTAGGTCAAAAATAAATTAATTCGACCTTTCAATACAATAAAATACTGAAAAATAACTATACTTTTATTCATCAATCGATCGATACACTAAGTTTTAGATTTTTTTTTAGCTAATTATTAAGAAATAAGTAAGCTATTTGACGCAAAAATACTATGACGTCATAACTCAATTTTTCATACAAATTCCATAGAAAAGTATCGTTTTTGACAGTTGGATAAAAGTATTGAATTTGACTAGTTGGAAACTACCGTATTATGATGTAGAAAAATAATTTTAATGATCTGTATTTATTTTAATTTTGTGATTAATATTTATAACTTTTTAAGAGCCTTTTCAAATTATGCTTTAGGCATTCGTAGCACAAGGCACGCTACCCATCTAGTTCTCTATCACTGTTTAATCCAATTTGAGAGGTGTGTCTTTATGTTTTTAATACTATAAGCTAAATATCTACACGCCAGTGCTTTATAGGCAATAGAAAATTATAATGTAATAATAATAATAATAATTTTTCGAAATGTACGTTTTGGAAATACTTGTCTATTAGGAGAGCCCAAGAAGGGACTTCGTTAGTTACTTGAGTGCGTCACAATAGGTTAGGTTGCGCTCGACCGGAGTGACACCTTAAGGCTGAAGGAAACTATCGTGAAATAATTACAGCGTTGTGTCAGCAAGGTGACTGGAAGCCCAATCCTCCTCCTTCCCCCATTATTCTATCCCCAAAAGGCTGGCAATGCACTTGTAACTTCTCTGCTGTTGTGTCTATAGGCGGCGCCGATTGCTTACATAAGGTCGCGTTTACGGACACGCGGGGCGTATTTCGTTTGTCGTACATTACACCATCAAATCGTGTTATAGGCCGAGCAAACAGAAGCATATGAACATCACGAGCAATGTATGACGAACTGCACATCCTACCGCACAACGCGTTGCTTAAACGTAAACGAGGCCTTAAGGTGGCCTGTGAGTACGTTTGCTGCCTTATCACATAAAAAGGGCAATAGGCATAGGTTGAATACTTGAATATACCTAATCTAATTAGAGGAGGTGATCAAAGAATTAATAAAAAAATAGGAATCGCACTTATAGTTTATGCATGGGGGCACGGCAGTGCTCCAGCCAAGTCGCTAGCATTTCGTGGCTATGCCCCATACATACCCTAGAGGTTTCCGATGACCGTTTTTAGTCGTTTTCACCCATAATGTTTATAGATACGTATTTCCAAAATGTATAAGAAATACAACTATACAAACTTATAAGGACCACAATCGTCAGTGCCATATCATTATAGAAATTGTTACATTTTAAATAATACACGGTTTGAAAAAAAATATGAAAATGTTTGTTTTATTTCATAGATTTAATTACCTACCTGTGTAAGTGTGGGAGAGCCATGCTTCAGAACGAATGGGTCGACTCGAACGGAGTAACACTACGACCTCATAGAAAATCGGCGTGAAATAACTATACAGCATTGTGTTTCGGTGTGTGAGAGAGGTTAATGGAGGCCCAATCCTTCCACTTCCCAACCCTTCAATCTCGGAATCGGCAACGCACTCGTAATTCTGAGCATTGTGTATCCTTCCACTTCCCAACCCTTCAATCTCAAAATCGGCAACGCACTCTTAATTCTGTCGCCATCAGCGCTGCCCATGGACGGGTGTCCATGGGCCTATTGCTTAACATCAAAAGGTCTACCATGAAGTGTTAAAGCGTGGATCTTCCGAGCGAGAAAGAAGGATGGAGGTAGAAAAGGTGTATAGCTCCATCCCTCTTTCTCGCCCGAAAGATTCACGCTTTAACACGTCATGGTAGGCCCTCTGGTAATGCGTCTGCTCGTTTGCCGACTTATCACAAAAAAAACTCATGATTTGATTGCTTTTAATTTTATTCCTGGTAATCTTCGATGATGGAGAGCAACTAGCAAGCAAGGTGTACCGCGGGGCGGCTTAGAGCATAAGAAGGAATGTAAGAGACTTAAAAAAATCAAGACACTCTCTCACACTATCCAGTACGGGAGAGGTCGTTGTTCAAAATGTACAGGCCGACTTAATGCCTCAGGTATTGTCTAACAGTCGACAAAGTGAATGTGAAAATGCTTCTGGCGATGGCGCGACACGACACAATAATATGTCTCGGCTTTGAGATTGAATATGAGATCATTAATGACATTTATAAAAATGTCAATTGGCTAAAAAGCCTTAGGTCTAATAAAATCATCAACTTATCAGAGAGAACTGCAATACGAGCAGTCCGCCCATCATATTACTCTGGGAGTGTAGTCTCTGGCAATACGACTATAACATTATGTTAGATAATTTATATATCTCATTTAGGTGTAGTTTATTATACGGACCTTGTGGAATATAGAACAAACTTTCGCGCGTTTAGGCGTTTTTGTCATACCTATTACTGGAAGCAACTGTAGCAGCTCACACATAGGTCCCATTACCATCACAATACAAAAAAATCTGTGGTGTTTGATGACTGGACTTCTCCCAGTTGTACAGTCTCTTCTGTGCATTTAAGGCCTAAGTCATTCTGTCTCCTGCATTAAATTTACAGAGGGAAGTGGATACTATTTAATATTTTCTTCTCCTCAAATAATATCTTCTGATTTATTTCGTTGCGGGATCCAAGACAGTCATTCATGTCCTTGGGACGCGCCGGACTTCAGTGTTCCGGTGTTTTCATTGTTGTATCGACTGTAGATCTTGGTGTACAGGAGTTGCAGCGGTTTTGTGAGGTTGCGGCGGGCATGTCCCAAAAAAAAAAAAAAAAATATCAGAGAGGTCAAAGGATCAGAAAAAATAAAATACAATATGAAAAATATATTAATATCTTTATTTCAAATCACTCTTACTTAATAAATATTAATATAACATTGTTATAAATTAAACACTGGACGGCATAGGTATTATTATACAAAAAAATATGGAATGTTTATAAAAAATGTTAGTAAGATGGTAAGCAATCGGCGCCGCCCATGGACCCACAGAACACCAAAAACTTGATGATAAGAAGATGGGGAGGGTTGGGCCTAAAGTTTTATAATCTATACTCATAAATGCGAAAGTAACTCTTTCTGTCTGTCTTATCTTCACGCCTAAATTACTGAACCGATTTCTGTGAAATTTGGTACAGACATAGTTTGGAACTCGAGAAAGGATGTAGGATAGTTTTTAAACCAAAAATCTGTTTTACTACTAGTAAAGTAAGTAAGTTTGTCTGTCTTTTTACGCTTTTTCTGCTCAAACTGTCCTCATAATTTAGCATGGATACACAAGTAGTTGGGAATTACTGAGAAGGATAGAAGGTTATTTCACGCGACCATAGCCGATAATAAAAACTAGTATTAGTAACTTCATTGAAAATGACGACTTAGGTGAATTAATTGAGAATAGCTCTACAAGTTTCAAATCATAACGGGACTCTTATTCATGAGCACCTTGCGCGTTGCGGCGACCTCACGCACCCAACTGACTACTCGAGCTTGCGCACCCATCGAGCTCAGTGGCGTGCAATTGTCTTCTCATCCAACCACTGCCAGCCACCCTGCGGATGTCGTCAGTCCACCTAGCTGGAGGGCGCCCTACACTACGTTTGCCTAGACGTGGTCTCCACTCTAGAACACGTTTACTCCAGCGGTTCTTCGACCTGCCCACTGCCACTTCAGTTTGCTAATCCTTTGGGCGGCGTGTATATTAGGTTCAATTTCCGGCAAAAAACTAATGTTGCATACCATGCTTACTGTATAGAGCTTTTCTCAGTTAACTCACGATCGTAACTATTCAAAAATAGTATTACAAATACGAAAATCTAATAGTAGTCTGGGACGGGAGCGCACGCGATCTTTACGAAATCTTCATAGCGAACAGTACCGCTATTAGTGACGTTGGCTTCTCTGAATATATTGTCCACCTGTAGAAGTAATAACAATATTAATAATGAATAAACTATACTAATACTATAAATGAGAAAGTAACTCTATTTTATTTTTTTATTTTAAAAATAACGTCGTCCCACACTAGGATTTTCTCCTGTGTTGTGGGTGCGTTTACAAACATACAATTTCACATGCACATCACACCCAGACCCGGAACAACAATCTGTGGATCACACAAAGAGTTGTTTCGTGCGGGAATCGAACTCGCGACACGTTGCGCGGCAGCCAGTTGCCCAGCCACCGCGCCAACCGTGCAGTCAACTCACTCTATCTGTCTGTCTGTCTTTTCTTCACGCCTAAACTACTGAACTGATGTAATTTGGTACAGACATAGTTTGGAACTCGAGAAAGGACATAGAATAGTTTTTAAAAAAGAAAATCCTGGCGGAGCGGGAATTATGTGGGTAAAAAAATCTGTCGGAAGGGACTATTCCACGCGAACGGTGTCGCGGGCCAAAGCTAGTGAAATTTAAATAACAGAAAGCTGCCATACTAAATACATACAATAAGGAGTAAGAAAATTTATTAAGATCGATGAAGGACGAAATCATACGAATAGTTCAGACAGACATAACAGGCTGTTAACATCCAATGATAAAGGGCTGATTTATCAATAGTCGGATAAATGTTATCTGAGGACAAAATTGTTGCTGTCACTGTCTTATACAAACAATCTGACGCGACAGCAATCAGCATCATAATTATTACCCAGGTAACTTTTATCTAACCATTGAAAAATCAGCCCTTGCACTTGTAAAGGACATTAAAAAAGGTCTAAGAGCCGAGAGTTAAAATAAGAAAACAATAAATAATAATGAAAAAATATACATATATAACTAGCAGCTCGCCCCGAGGTCTCATCATCTCGCTTACGATGAAAGGGTCCCTATTACCCAACTCTTCCTTCTACTTTTCTAAAATTTCTTAAGAACCTTCTCCTGACAATAACAAACACAACAAAAAAAGAATTAGCAAAATTGGTCCAGGCGTTTTTGAGTTATGCGCTTACCAGCATATTTTGAGATTCATTTTTATAATATAGATATAAAAAGTAATGAAAATAAGTTTGGGAGAGCCATGCTTTGGTACGAACGGACTTATACCAAGGCCTCACAGAAAACTGCCTTGGAACAATCACAGCGTTGTGTTTCGCCGTGTGATTAAGGTTACCGGAGGCCCAATTCTTCCCAAATCCCAAAATATCCAAATTCCTAATCCCTAAAAGGTCGGCAACGCACTCATAACTCCTCCGTTGTAGCGCACGGCGAATCACAACGCTGTGGTTGTTTCACGCCCGTTTTCTGGTACGCCGTGGTATTACTCCGGTCACTTAGTGCCGAAGCATGGCTCTCCCACACTTAATGTTCGTTGTGATACAAAGCTTTGAGTATCACTCGGGTTAAGCCGAGGCACAGTACGCCCACATAATACCTATAAAAGTAATATTGTATTACCTCTCTAGCGGATAGGCCTTCGCCCCAGTTCTGCAGCAGATTGCGAAGCTGTTTTGCTGGTATCACGCCAGACTTCTCTGTGTCGCCGGCTTTGAATGCATTCACTACCTGTTGTGAAGAATCACTACATAGTACAAATCAGTCTTTTTCTCTGTCCCTATATCCGTATGTATGGTTAAATCTTTAAAACTAAGCAACGGGTTTTGGTGCGGTTTTTTTATAGAGTGATTGAAGAGTTAGAATTACATGTATTATAACATCCATTAAAAATAGTGGAGAAGCCAGAAGCAAGGGCGAATCGCTAGTCTTTTATAAAAAAAAATACATAATAAAGCTCCGCTCCTTGGTCCGCCCGACTTGGTGAAGCACTGCCGTGCCCCCAGATTTCGGAATTCGTTCCGTTGCGGGAGGTAGGTAGGTACTAGTCTAATATAAAGACTAATTAGTTAGCCGCTATTAGTCATAGCGTAATGTTTTATAGCCTGTAGCTTTCTTCAATAAATTGACAATCTAATACAAAAATAATTGTTCTATTCGACCCAGTTTTTTTTTATATGCCCCACTTTAGGATTTTCTTCTGTGTTGTGGGTAACGTTTACAAACATACAATGTCACATACACATGACACCCAGACCCGAAACAACAATTTGTGGATCACACAATGTGTTGTTCCGTTCGAGAATCGAACCCGCGACACGTTGCACGGCAGCCAGTTGTCCAGCCACCGCACCAACCGTGCAGTCCGGAGATTAGCGCATTCAAACAAATTTATAAGTGTAAGTAGATACCCGTTAGTTTCGATTACGGATCTCACCATCATTCCGATCCCGGATAATAATAACAGTGCGGCCGACGTATCTGGCGAGTCTGAAGTTAGCCGATTAGCTGCGCAGTACACTAATTTGTTCCTAAAAGATCCATTGCGCAGACAAACGGCTAACTTCAGACTCGCCAAGATACGTCGGCCGTACTGTACCTACCTCATTGGGTAGATTTTCAGCTCGGGAATGGATGTGCATCACTTCCAGGAAATCAGCAAACGACATCTTTCCTCCTTTGCCTTTCAGATAACCTGAAAAAAGGTACAACCATCAATCAAAAGCCTAGATAACCTACAAGTGCACATAATACGGATCTAAATGAAAGGAGAATGCCAGATTTACACCCGGTTTCTGAAAGGCTTGTCAACGCTAAAATTAACTAATCTCCTGTTAAATCTCTTGTCAAGTCATCTGATTGGTTGTTGATAATTCAGTCAACCAATCAGATGACTTGACAAGAGATTAAATTGATTTTAACATTGATCGGCCTTTCGGAAACCGGGGGTTAGTGTTAGATAAGAACTAAGACTGTTTTATGAAATTAATGGTAAAGGATAGTAGATAATTTTAAGGATAATATAATAAAGGATAGTAGAAAAAATAAAACGAGTAGACGGATTACCTGATGGTAAGCAATCGTCGCCGCCCATGAATACTGACGGGTGCCTTGTCCGACTCTCGTTGTTTGTTCATATAATGGCATATGAGAGAAATCCTTATTGTTAGAATACATTTTGAGATAATAGGTTTAAGCCAATGTTTTACAGATAAAGAGAAATATATGCGAATAAATAAATAAATGAAATATTTTTTTATTAATAATTATGATACTATAATACGTTAGTTTCCAACTAGTCAAATTCAATACTTTTATCCAAATGTCAAAAACGATACTTTTCTATGAAATTTTTATGAAAAACTGAGCTATGACGTCATAGTATTTTTGCGTCAAATGGCTTACTTATTTCTTCATAATTAGGTGCAAAATATCTAAAACTTAGTGCATTGATCGATTGATGAATAAAAGTATAGATATTTTTCAATATTTTATTTCATTGAAACATCGAATTAATTTATTGACCTAGGAAACTACCCAATTATAGAATGTTTATTATTGGTACCTACTATACATACATAATTGGGTAGGATTTGGCACAGAGAAAGATTATAGTCTGGAATAATGCTATAAACTTACCAGCCAACTCCTGTATAGTTGGGCTCATTCCCAGAGACCTCATGACCACAGTAAGCTCATCCAGTGATGTAATTTGCCCTGACCGGGCAAACAGATAGAAACATTCACGGAATTCTGCAAAAAGGTTTGACTTTGATTTATTTTATGGTTAGCAATAGGATGGCCATTGCTGTACATGGGCTAGTGGCTTCCTATCATAATGGGAATCAGTGCTTTTTACATAAATTCTGGTGTTACACTAAACTAGAATTTTATCCTGTTATGGTTGGGTTTAAAAACATAGCTAGATTCTTTTATATTACTGCACAAATGATGTGGTGATCCACAAATTGTTGTTCCGGGTCTGGGTGTGATGTGTATGTGAAATTGTATGTTTGTAAACACACCCACAACACAGGACAAAATCCCACTGTGGGTCAAAGTGAAAAAAAGGAAAAATAATTTATAAGATTAACGCATCCAGTGCCCCCAACGCGTATGTGCGTTTCCTTACGCTACTCTGTGTGCCCTCGACGCACCTGTGCGTTCTATACATTAATGTATAAGATTAATGAATAAGATCAAAACTACCTGATGATACTGTGCATGATGGTTTCTGGGTTACATGTAAGTAACTAATTTTAGTGTGATCTACAAATTGTTTTCTTAATAGCACAAGTCTCAACCATAGTGGCTTTTGGATGCTTTTTAAATTCGATTAATTTAGTATTTTTGTTAATCTTCATGATAATAAAAATTGGATGATTATTTCTCTATTTTCGGTTGATAAAAACCTCATTAGATTTTTCAAAACATTCTTAGTAATATCTTACAACATCTTACTTATGGAACACTTAAAAGAAAAATATTTTCTTATGAAATATTACACAAACATTCGACTTGAAAATTAGTATTATTGTATTCGTAATTCGAAAAGCGTCTGAGGCAGATTACGAAAGTTTACGCATAAAAAATAAAGTTTACTCCAAAACTTTCTAAACTTTTAAAATATACCGTTAGTTGCGACAAAAACATCGAAAAACAATGTTTTAAACAAGTTTTCATGAGAAATATTCAGTAGGTATAAGAATAAAGTACAATTTTTCGTCCTTTGTCTCAAAATAAATATATTCTTTGTGTAAATTGAAATTATCTTGATATCTTATCAAGCGATAAGTGGGACGTACCATCAATATCCTGTTCCTTGAAATAACGGGCCTGTAAGAAAGAAATATAGTGTTATTATAAGAAAATAGTTATTACAGATTCTAAATAGAGACATTAACTTACCATTTTTCTTAGTGGTTTTGAAAAAACAACACAAAATTGAAAACGAAAACAAATTAACCAACAAGAAAATCCCCGTTTGACAGATATATATTGTACTAATGTCAAAAGTCATTCAAAAACCGGAACGTTGTGTTCCACTTCAGTATAGTACACATTTTCAGCATTAAGCTTTTGTATTATTTGAATGTTTGACAATATCAAATTTTCAAACGGCTTTATTTCCAGTATCATCAATTTTCATCTGTAAAACATATAAAATCATTCATATTTTTGACTTGAAAAGAAATAGTGCATTAATTAAAAATACATTAATCAGACGGACTCAAAAGACCAAGGCCCAAAGTTTAAAATATTTTTACATAATCTGTGTTCCAACATGGGCGACCAATCAGCTGACATTTCTGAAGGCATATTTTTCCATGGTGTAATTATCTAAATTGGGTAAATTATTACATAAAACCTGCTCCGGGACAGTTTTCAGTGATAAACTCGTTATTCAAGTGAATAATTAACAATCATCTGTTATGGATATCGAGATCAGAGTTGCGTGAGTACTCACATGATTATCTTGAGAATTTGATTTTAATTTCCGCATTTCTTGTTAAGTTACCTTGTACTTGATTTAGATAAGACTACAATATGTGTCCTTTGACCGCCACTGAGGTTTTACACAGCATTTATGAGAGAAAATTAGTTACAAGTGTTAAATTATTGATTTAATTTAATACGCCTCTCGTCATTGCCAATCCATGCTTCTTATATTACGTATACGTAATGTAGATAGAAATTGTTTAGCAAGACTTTATATTTCTTATTTGCTCACCTTTTTATGACTTATACTTAAGATATTTATCATATTTCTAGAATATTTGAAATTATTTTATTGCTTAGCTTGGCACATTATAACATGTTGGTTTCTTATTTTCATCATCAATTTTCCTAAAAAAAAGCATGCAATCTAGTCTATTACCTTACTTTATCATGACTAATAAAAAAAATGTTTTTCTTTTTTAAGAAAACTCATTTGGATAGTTTTTAAATAAAATATTTAAAACACAATTTCTTATGTATGTTGCTTCCTTTTCAACTTTCAAAGAAATAATCATGATGTAATTACTGTTATTTATTACAAACTTATACTATTGTTTTTAATAATTTTATATTGCATGAAAAGTCAGTCTAATTTTTTTTGTTAATATAATATCTTTTTCTCATAGTTACAAAAAGCCATAATTAAACATACCTTTATTTTTTTATTCATAAAATACTAGAACCACACAGACAGTTTTTGAACTGCCTGGAATGATACTGCAACTTTATATCCAGTCTCAACTGTTTGAATAGATATGATAACACATTAAAAACATATTATTTCAACAATTCATTTTATTAAAATGTTACAATACCTACTCCAAATGACTGATTTAATTTTGATCTTGGTTTTGATACATTTCTAGTAAGATCAATATGTTTTATATTTTCAAGTTTTTTATTTATTTAATTATTTATGCACATCGCACATACAGTAAATAGAGAACAAATACAGAGACAGAGGTACATAGGAACTGCATATTCCTATATGGGATCTCTTCCTGCAGTCCTTCGAAAGGAAAAATGTAAGAGACATAGACACTGTGTGATAAACTAAAACAACAGGAAAAAGAAATGACATAACAAAAAAGTATTTTATTTGATTATTTCTGTAATTACCACTATTGCTAGCCATTAAATCTATCGACAGATAGTTAATTGAATCTATCTGGAAGAGAATTATAATATTTATATACTTTGTGAAACAGTAAACATATTTTCATTAAAACTATGCAGAACATCCTCAAAACTGAATCCCTTGACACACTTCCTACCTAATAGGGTGGTCACGGAATGGATTAAACTCCCAGAAAATGTGATAAAAGCACCCACAGTTAATTCTTTTAAAAACAGACTCAACAAAATCTCCAAATTCGTTAATACGCACGTATCAGCTTTCTAAGCTGCTAGTGTGTTCAAGTATAATAATACCCGCGGGCTACCATCATCCCGATTGCTCCAGGGAGAAGTCACCGTTCCTCATCTCCGGCTTGCCTTCATTGGCTGGCCGAAGTGGACGATGACGAGGAACAGGTCTCCCACCTCTGGCTTGCCTTCATTGGCCGTCCAGAGTGGAGTCGCGAGAGTAGTGATCCTGCTCGGAGGGTGGAAGCTGTTCGTAAGCGGCGAGTGGGCCAGTGATGCAGGATGCTTAGGCAGATGCAGATGATCTGAGTAGAAAGCTGGTGGCAGTTTCTTCACCCTTCAGCCACTCACATTTCCGTTGTCCCTCTGTTGCTATTACTAGCAACCATTCCCGGGGGCCCGGTCGGTGAGTTGGCGAGTCTCCACCTGCCATTTTTACGTGTATTTATTACATTGTTTCGGCAGGTGCCATAGTCCTTCCATAGTTCCCATCATACCAGTCCATAACAACCCACACCCATAGTCTTATCCCTTGTTTCCATTATCCGCAATAGTCCTACACTAACCGGAGACTGTCCTTGGGTGCATTTCCATAGTGCATACAGGGATAGTCGCCGGTTAGTGTCCCATTTCATTTAGATTAAAGTTGTCTAAAGGGCCTCTGCGCAGTTGGCTCCGGCCCCTCGTACGCCTTCCAAATGACCGGGACCCTGTGGTCCCGTGATTGGTAAAGACATACAAATAATAATAATAAATCCGCAAGGCAGCTTGTGGCGAGCTGTTGGGCAGTGGCGACCCCACGGACCTGACTCCCGGGAGGTGTCTTGTTCTTCTCTCTCCGGTTAGTCCTCGTGACTAGCTGGAGTGAACACTGATGAGGAACAAGCCCTCTCACCTCATTCTTGCCTTAATTGGCTGGCTTGAGAGGAGATTCGCAAGAGTAGGAGTTGAAGGAGACTCGGGGGAAGGATGTATCTCAGTAAGATGCTGGTAGGGGTCTTGACCGTACTTCCGGGATTGCTCTGATAGCCGTGGGATGCCTCTCCTTCCCCAAGCAGCTCAACGTATGTTGCCCCCGTGTCGCTACATGCTAGCGGCCGTTTCCGGGGGCCCATTAATTGAGTTTGCCAGTCACCCCCTGCCTGTTTATCCGTATGTATCAATATTGGTCAGGGGCAGGGGCCATAGTATTTCCATAGTTTTCATCCACTAGTCCATAGCAACCCATACCCATAACCTTATAAATTTTTACCACATTTCGCAATAGTCCTCCATCAACTGGGGATTGTCCTTGGGTGCACTTTCATAGTGCATACAGGGATAACTGCCGGCTGATGTCCCATTTCACTTATATTAAAGTTGTTCAAAGGGCCTCTGCGAGTTGGCTTCGGCCCCTCGTACGCCTTCCAAAAGTCCGGGACCCTGTGGTCCCGTGAGTGGAAAGGAACATACATAATAATAATGTGATAACACAAGATGATGTAAAGAGAGAGATATGGTTAACACCTCAATCTCTCTCCATATTTTGGAGGGGAGCACATCTTCCAAAAACTGGTCTTGTCCTCAGGGTCGAAAGGTAGTATCTGACTCTTAATGGCTAAAAACCACTTTCTTCCTGCTCCAAGCCAGGTCGCCATGTCATGCATGCATGACATCTTAACATATTTGAGTCAGAGACAGAGGTCTGAAACAACCCACAGTGTTGTGTTTCCTCGCCGCCCGACCAGAACCAGACCCGAGCGTATGGCGCGTTCTGCACGTGCCTCAAAGATCCAATAGATCACCACAGACGGGGCCCTATAGAGCTGATGTAAGCGCAATGAGGCACCGCGACCTCGGCCCAGAGCAGGAGAAGGAACAGGGGGTTTTTACTCAGTAAGAGTCTGACACTCCCACCCGCCCTGCCCTGGGCGGGAGATGTAATTTGATGATTTTCCCATCACAAAAAAAAAGTTTTGTGTTTCGCCGTGTGAGTGAGGTTACAGGGGGCCCAATCCCTTCCCTTCCCCTATCCCTTCCCTAAGCTTATATCCGCAACCCCTATCCCTAAAAGGCCGGCAACGAACTCGTAACTCCTTTGGTGTTGCGGATGTCCATGGGCGTGCCGATTACTTACCATCAGGTAATCCGTCTGCTCGTTTGCCGACTTATTGCAACCTGCATTTAAAAAAAATGCTTGAAAAGTATAAATACTAAGTAAAATTACTGAAAAATATCAAAAGTATTTTTGTTTCGTGAAGTTTTAACATTTTATTTTTATTTAAACTAGCATCCACCTGCTGCTTCACCCTCGTGGTATGTTGATAATAGGCACCCTATGTGTTAATCCAGGGTACCACCTATCTACAATACCGCGACGTATCTTGGCGAGTCTGAAGTTAGCCGATTAGCTGCGCAGTACACAATTTTGTTCCTAAAATATCCATTGCGCAGACAAACAACTAACTTCAGACTCGTCAAGATACGTCGACCGTACTGTACACATCAAATTTCAACCAAATCGGTCCAGGAGTTTTTGTGAGAAAGAAATGCAAGCATACACTCTCACAAACATTCACATTTTTATTATAACTTTCGTGAGACATTCTAAATTAATTATTATGTTTTCGGCTTACTAACGTAATAATTTGACGAGATACTCGACTAGTTTCAAGCCATGCTAGAGGCCCCTATTCATGAGCAGCATTCTGCAACACGCGACGCGGCGACTACTGTCGCCACTGTCCACATGTCGACTACTACTGTCCGTAGCAGCGCGACAGTCGCCGAGTCGCGTAATGCGGAATGCTGGTCGAGTATCTCGTCAAATTATTACGTGAGTAAGCCTAAAACATAATAATAAATTTTCACGTTTATAATATTAGTAGGATTTTTTTGGGCTGTGTAAAAAACAATATGTACTCAATGAAATCAATGTTGACAAAACATTCTAAAGCAATACTGAGTGTATTTATAGTGTAGAATGATATTTGTAAACAAATTCACCCCACGATATAAATATAATATCATTACATACATATATATGTCGGCCAAGATTCAAAATAATATAATGATAAGTTTCTATTTGAATCATTGACTGGTAGTCATTTGAAATTTGATGAATGCTCGACTCTTATTGGTCGTAGTGTGATGTTTTATAGCCTTTATCCTAGGCTGTAAAATTGACCACAAAGAATTGTTCTATTTAAATCAGTAGTTAGTTTTACATTCAAACTAACATGTTTCATCATTATAATATTAAAAATAATATTTTTTATAGAGAATGTAGGTATGTGGTTCATGCAAATGTTTTCGAAAATTATTAACAATAAGAATTAAAAAGAACTAGCTACTCCCGCGCGGTTTCACTCGCTGCTCGGCCCCATGTAGCGTGATGTTTTATAGCCTATAGCACTCGGGAACATTGTAGCTATCAATAAGTGAAAGAATTTTGGGAATCCGACCAGCGGTTCCAAAGATTACTCCCCTACATACAAACTTACAAATTTTACCTCTTTATAATATTTGTATAGATGACGGGTATTAGCGATCCCGTGGGCTACCATCATCCCTAATGCTCCAGGGAGAAGTCACCGTTCCTTATCTCCGGCTTGCCTTTTTCGGCGGGCCGGAGTGAACGATGATGAGGAACAGGTCTCCCGCCTCTGGCGTCCCTTCATTGGCCGTTCAGACTTGAATCGCGAGAGTAGAGATCCTGCTCGGAGGGTGGAAGCTGCGAGTAGGCCAGTGATGCAGGATGATTAGGCAGATGCAATTGATCTAAGTAGAATTAGAAACCGGTCGAGACAGTCCACTCACAGAGTGTGCCCAGGAATTGCACGATTTGATTCCGCCATCCCAATTTCACCTTCGGACATCCCGGCGTACGGCGAATATCCACCCTTACGTTGTTGAGACACCTGCGGCCCGGACTAAGCGTTTTGCCTCGTCATTTATACCGCGTACATCGAGGGATTGGAACAGTTTGCCGGCTGCAGTCTTTCCGTCCGAATAAAATTTAGGTGTCTTCAAGGCTAGAGTGAATAGGCTCTTAATAAACTAGTGCGCCTTACCATCAACGATTGCATCACTGCTTACCAAAAAAACTCGTGCCGAAGAAGATTTTAAAGTAATGTGGAAATAAAGTTATGATGAAGTTTTATCTTTAGGATATAATGATAACAGAATTTTATTGTCATAATGATGATTCACTTTGCAATGTATAAATATATTTATAAATACATATGTCGGTATAGTCATATGAATACTTTAAATATCTAGAGGATTTGGGGATTGAGGTTAGGTGTGGGTTCCCTCATCATCAGGTAAAGCGACTGCTCGTTTGCCCACCTCACCCGTGAGATAAGTCGCTGCAAAGAAAACGGAAACCCACTTTGGAATCAAACTAAATGGGGCATTCTTTAGAAGATTTTTTGCCTCACCTTACTTCATGCAGACGGCCTCACAGAAAACCGGCATGAAATAACCACAGCGTTGTGTTTCGCCGTGTGAGTGAGGTTACCGGAGGCCCAATCCTTCCCCTCCCCCAATCCTTAAATCTCCAAAAATCGCTAATCCCTAAATGTTCGGCAACACACTCGTGACTTCTCTGTTGCGCGTGTCCATGGGCGGCGCTGATTGCTTATCATCAGGTAATCCGTCAGCTCGTTTGTCGACCTATTACTAAAAAAAAATGCGATCACTACCTAATATAACTCGATACGTAGGCCCAAACCTTCCAAAAAGGAAAAAACCGTTTCTTTTTCTGTAAAGGGACAATCATCCATTTAAATCTCTCGCGCAGGGTGAGGTGAGAGTGAGTCAGACTCTTATTGACCCCCATTTTTTTGTCAGGTGAAAATCATTCAGTGGCTTCTCCCGCCCAGGGTAAGGCGTGGGAGAGTGTCAGACTCTTACTGACTAAAAACCCCCCCGTTCCTTCTCCTGCTCTAGGCCGAGGTCGCGGTGCCTCATTGCGCTTACCCCGCAACCCCGGCTGTCTTATTGACCCCCTATTACGTCTCCTGCTCCCGCAACCCCAGCTAAATATGTTGCCCTGTTAGGCCTCATTATAAGTCTTTTAATTTGTTTGTTTCAGATCCTGCATGCAGTTACGGAAATCAGAATAAAAAACCATGGAAGAACCTATAAGTGAAACCATACGAAACCATTTGGACACAAATAAAATCACTTAGTAAAAAACTATACAAAAATTTACAAATTAAAACTAAAAAAAAAAACCTAAAATATTGCAAACTAAAAATATAAAAACAACCAGAGATCTAGTCTCTTAGAGAAATATTAAAATAAAGAGAAATAATAGTGCAATTAATTAAAATATATAAATAATTTTATTATTATTTTGTGTATAAAATAGAGAATTAAATTATAAATAATTATATTTATTAATTTTTATTTTGTAAAGCTTTTTCCGTTGTTCGATGTTGTTGTTGCTGTAATTAAAATAATAATTAAAAAAAAATAGTTGCTAGTTGACATTTGAATTTTGTGACAACTTAGTTGACAGATAATTCCATTCTATTTTTAAATAATTATAAAGAATAGTTTAAAACTATTTCAAATGGTTACCAAAGAGTTTTAATATAAAGTTTAAATAAATAGATGGTTTTATGACTGGGGTTGCAAACGGGTTGAATGAACTTTAACCATAAAGAATTCGGAATGGCTGCCACAATGGTTGAGACCCCACCTCCTCAGCTGATTACTACTATAGAATGGAGTATGATGGATAAAACTAAGTTTTTTCCATTATATACTCTAAGCAGTTTTACAGGTATGTAAACATTATTATTTAACTAGCTTTTGCCCGTGACTCTGTTCGCGTGGAATAGTGACTGCCTGCAGACTTTTTGGTATAAAAACTATCCTATGTCCTTTCTCGAGTTCCAAACTATGTCTGTACCAAATTTCACAGATATCGGTTCAGTAGTTTAGGCGTGAAGAGAAGACAGACAGACAGAGTTACTTTCGCGTTCTCGCTCCCTTACTACTCATAATAAAACCGATGAAAATACTGTCTCTATTCATGTCTTATTCTATCATTTTGAGAAGAGGCCACTTATAGGCTGGTAATGATGAAATGATTATGATGATTCATGTCTACCTACCCTCTTTTGAACGAAACTTGACTAATAATACGGTAAAACGGGGTGAATAGAATTCGAGTAGAGAATAGCGGCAGAAGAAGGGTGAATAAATACTCATCATCATCAGCCTATAAGTGCCCACTGCTGAGCAAAGGCCTCTTCTCATACGGAGAAAGTTAGAGCATTAATCACCATGCCTGCTCAATGCGGTTTGGCGATTTCAAACTTATAATTCCATAAGTCCGGGTTTCCTCACGATGTTTTCCTTCACCGTATGTCAGTGGTGTCTAAATAATCATAGAAAGTACATATAACTCGGAAAAAGTCACATTGGTACTTGCCAGGTTTTTAACCCAGACCCTCATGCATGAGAAGCGGGCTGCTTAACCTCCTGGCCACCACGACCACCACGACATAGATACTAGGAAACATCTATTCACCCCTTTCGTGTATCTATTAACGCCTCAAATTGCATTCAACCCGATATAATATTACCTACTATTTCGTTCCAACTGTCAAAAATTAGTTTTTTTTTATATTATTACGTCGGGGAAAAAGTCTTTTTGGTTTTAGTATCATTGAAAGTTTAAATTCCAAATTAAAATTAGAATAATGAATGATTTTTATTTGTTTGATAATTTATGGACGCCCTTTGTTGTGCGTTGGTCTCGCTTCTCTATAACGGCTGTACTGACTAGGTTAAGTATAGGTTTTGAAATATCCGTTAGAGTCCAGAAATGGCAAAAACGGTGACAAAAATATTAACATCGGTAATTTTCTCTCCAATACAAACTGCTTTGTATGTGACATAAAATAGTTATCATCGTAACAAAATTCACGAGACAAAATTTAAGAGCTGATTTTTCAATAGTCAGATAAATGTTATCCGAGGAATAAAATGGTTGCTGTCACTGTCTTATACAAACATTGTGACGCGACAGCATCGTAATTATTTCCCAGGTAACTTTTATGTGACCATTGGAAAATCAGCCCTTAGTCGTTATTATCAATATCAGTCACATGAGACAAGAAACAAAACATGTCATAGTTAAACTTTTTGCGGAGTTTCGCTAGTCAGTATTCCAAGCCAGCTTCATTATCATCATCATCATCATCATCAGCCTATATGTGCCCACTGCTGAGCAAAGGCCTCTTCTCACACGGAGAAGGTTTGAACTTTAATCACCACGCTTGCTCAATGCGGGTTGGCAATTTCAAACTTATAACTAATTAGAAATTATAAGTCCAGGTTTCCTCACGATGTTTACCTTCACCGTATGTCAGTGGTGTCTAAATTATCATAGAAAGTACATATAACTAGGTAAATGTCACATTGGTACTTGCCAGGTTTTGAACCCACCCTCATGCATGAGAAGCGGGCTCCTTAACCTTCGGGCCACCAAGCCAGCTTGCTAGTTATAAAATTACAACCAAAAACGGGCATCGATTTATTTTCTTAGATGGTTGGTTGCACTGGCGGGTAGATTACCTAATATATAATGGATTATTTATCAGATGATTAATCAATGTAATCTTATCTTTTATTAAAAGATAAAGATGAGGTCAGATGTGTCTAATATACACTGTTGATGTTTGAACTAAATATTTTTTGTCTATAAGCCTAGAATAGAATTAAACTTTCAGTCGTGGTAATTAAGTCACAATAGGTAGGTGAGCGAACGCCGGCGTTCTCTTGGTATTCGAATTAAAAGAATTTAAATCTAAAAAAAAATGACGTAAAATATTTCTCGGATTTTTTTTATGTATGGTTTTACCATTTGGGACGCGTTCGAGAGGCCAAGGCCAGGCGCAGAGGCCCTTTAGACAAATTCTTTAATTTAAATAAAACGGGACACACAGTTGATTTAATTATTATTACGATAAAGTTTTCTTCTACGCCCAACAGAACCGACTAAACGACTTATTGATCCACCTGACAATTTAAAGTTTTTATAATAAACTAGCGAAGCGCCCCCGCGTCGTAAAAATTCAATACTGATACTAAATCTCTCCTATATTTAATGGATGTTAATTATACATAATAATATAAACCTTTCTCTTCAATCACTCTATCTATTAAGAAACAACATCAAAATCCGTTGCGTAGTTTGAAAGATTTAAGCGTACATAGGGATATAGGGACAGAGAAAGTGACTTTTTTATACTAATTTAGGCGAAATCATTAGGCGCCATCTGCCGGGCTGATTTGTGAATGTGTGTGAGTGGCGCTTTTGATTTGATTTGATTTGATTTGCCCTGGATGGTATATTCAGGGCGCCACTCACACACATACAGAAAAAATCATTTAAATCGGTCAAGCCGTTTAGGAGTTCAATGTCCAATGTCATACACACGTACAGTAGAATTATATATATAAAGATTGTGATTATTTTATCTTCTTCTTCTTCTTTTTCCAGTAAGATGCGCGCTTTACCCGTTGACGTTAATAAAAACACAGATACAAGTGCAAAGGAAAAAGGAGGCTTACAGTGGAGTCGCCGACGCTATATCTAAGATATACAAGAACGAAGGCGTACCTGGACTTTATCGAGGCTTCTGGCTGTCTAGTGTAAGTATACCAACAGCGATCGATCTCCGGCCGCCGTAAGCGCCGGTCTCGCGGACGGCGAGTAATCAAAGCTCGTCGCCTGAGCTTACGGCGCGTAGCGTTCCGCGCGCGCCTCAAAGAGCCGATAGACCACCACAGACGGGCCCCTATAGGGCTGATGTTCAGCCGGGGTGGAGGGGTAAGCGCAATGAGGCACCGCGACCTCGGCCCAGAGCAGGAGAAGGTACAGGAGGGTTTCTTAGTCAATAAGAGTCTGACACTCCCAAAGAGGTCATTTGATGATTTTCCCCTCACAAAAAAAAAAAAAAAAATGTAAAATAAAATCTTTGAGGAATGTATTTATAGTGTATAGATATGATAATGACGGTACAGAGGTCTACAATTTGAACAGATGTGTCAACTACAGGCCCTGTTTGGCACCGCAAAGGACATTAACCTGCAGAGCCGATGCCCGCACGGAACAACTCTTTGTGTGATCCACAAATTGTTGTTCCGGGTCTGGTTGTGATGTGTATGTGAAATTTTATATTTGTAAACGCACCCACGACACAGGACAAAATCCTAGTGTGGAGTAAAAAACGAAACTGGTAGTGTCTCACAATATGGTAGTTTCCAACTAGTCAAATTCAATACTTTTATCCGAATGTCAAAAACTAAACCTTTCTATGAAATTTTTATGGAAAAAAGAGCTATGACAATGACTTATTACTTAATAATTAGCTTTAAAAAAATATCTAAAAATTAGTGTATTGATCGATCGATGAATAAAAGTGTAGGTTTTTTCATTTTTTGAAACGTCAAATTAATTTATTTTTGACCTAGGAAACTACCCAATTGGTAGCGATATCATGACAAAAGAATAAATGAGAATACTCTTCATCATAATTTATTAAAGTTATTTCTGTCTTCAGTTTCAGATAATCTCAGGAATTTTCTACATTACTACGTATGAAGGTGTGAGATACGAACTCGGGAAATATGACGTCAGTCCAAAACTCAAGGTACGATAAAATATGTTGATAGACACTTATAGTCAAAATTATTATTCTATTCATTTCTCATTATGTCTAAAAGATTTGGTAAACTTTTAAAATTCTATGGTTTTTGGCATACTTATTTGTCGAACTTAATAATAATGATGATAATGATTATCCGTATGTATCAATATTGGTCAGAGGCAGGGGCCATAGTATTTCCATAGTTTTCATCCACTAGTGCATAGCAACCCATACCCATAACCCTATCAGTTTTTACCACATTTTACAATAGTCCTGCATCAACCGGGGATTATACTTGGGTGCTCTTTCATAGTGCATACAGGGATAATTGCCGGCTGATGTACCATCACATTTAGATTAAAATTGTTCAACGGGCCTCTGTGAGTTGGCTTCGCCTCCTCGTATGCCTTCCAAAGGTCCGGGACCCTGTGGTCCCGTGAAAGGAAAGAACAAATGATGATAAATGAATCCGAATAATTTCTTTGATGACACTCGTAAAAATTCTTTTGTGAACTTAATTGAAACCCTTTACGAATTGAATCCCCTTTTCTGATCATATGGGTTCAACCATTTTGATCTCTCAATTGAAATCTTATGCTCTCCGGATTAAAGACTTGTGATCACAGGATTAAACATTTATGCTCTTCGGATTAAATCCCTACACTCTCAGGATTCAATCCTTACGCTCTCAGGATTAAATCCCTATGCTCTCTGGATTAAATCCCTATGCTCTCCGGATTATATCCATTTGTTGTAAGGTAAAAATTAATTTATTTTTCAATAAATATCTTTCGATTCCAGTCGTTCATTGGCGGTGGTTGTGCATCGATAGTTGGACAGACCATTATAGTACCATTTGACGTCCTTAGCCAGCATCTTATGGTGTTGGGTCTAGTTAAAGGGAGAGGAAATGTTCGGAATCCTGTAAGTATTACCTTAAAAATTTATTTTATTATATTTTGTAAGTGTGGGAGAGCCATGTTTCGGCACGAATGTGTCGGCTCGACCGGAGTGATACCACGGCCTCACAGAAAACCGACGCAAAACAACCACAGCGTTGTGTTTCGCCGAGTGAGTGTGGTTCCCCAATCCCAAAATCACCATATCTCTAATCTTCAAAAGATCGGTTACGTAGTCGTAACTCCTCCATTGTTGCCATGGGTGTCCATGGGCGGCGCTGATTGCTTACCATCAGGTAATCCGCCTGCTCGTTTGCCGACCCATCACATAAAAAAATATTTGATAAAGTTTCTGATAATTTAATTGAAGCATACACACTAATGTTATATGCTTGTAAACGCGCCCACGACACAGGAGAAAACTTATAATTAAAAATAAAATTGATTTTCACAATTGTAATTTTCTTTTTCAGCAAATGAACCCTCTCGGTTTGGACCTAGAGAAGCGTATGTCGAAAGCGGCCCTCGCCAAAGAGGTTGCGGTGCGTGTGTATCAACTGCACGGACCTCTTGGATACTACCGCGGGTATACTGCTTCTTTGGCCGCTTACGTACCTAACTCCGCACTATGGTGGGCCTTATACACTGCTTATCAAGGTAATTTAAACAAATATCATTTTTTTTTAACCTTAAAATAGCTATTTCTTTGCGGTTTTCCCTTCCACTGTTGATGTATTATCTATACTAATATTATAAAGCTGTAGAGTTTGTTTGAACGCGCTAATCTCTGAAACTACTGGTTCGAATTCAACCGTATTTTTTGTGTTTGTTAGTCCATTTCTTGAGAAAGGCTATCCAAACTGATATTATAAATGCGAAAGTAACTCTTGTCTGTCTGTCTGTCTTTTCTTCACGCCTAAACTACTGAACCGATTTCTGTGAAATTTGGTACAGACATAGTTTGGAACTCGAGAAAGGATATAGGATAGTTTTTAAACAAAAAATCTGCTGGAAGCCACTGTTTGACGCGAACGGAGTCGCGATCAAAAGCTAGTAGGCTAAAAACATCACGTTACGATCTGTGAAACTGTGTGAGAATAGCTAGTCTATACTATTATACTAATATTATAAAGAGATAAAATTTGTAAGTTTATATTTAGGGGGTAATCTTTGAAACCGCTGGTCGGATTGCCAAAATTCTTTCATTGATAGATAGCTACAAAGTTCCTGAATGCTATAGGCTATAAAACATCACGCTACAATCAAATGGAGCTGAGCAGCGAGTGAAACTGCGCGAGAGTACGTTTTTGACCTAATTTGAATTGTATTACAGATGAACTCCTAAAGATTGCTCCGTCGTGGGTGTCGACGTTGCTCATTCAGTGCGCGGCCGGTACGCTCGGCGGGTTCACGACCACTTTCCTAACGAACCCATTGGATATAGTGCGCGCTAGATTACAGGTAGGATCTAGTCACATACCTACTAGATTTCTTTAAGTAATAGGTCTGCAAATATATAGATGGATTACCTGATGGTAAGCAATCAGCGCTGTCCATAGAGAAAAGCTTCAAAGGCGGAGTTCTGAGTGCGTTGCAGACCTTTTGGGGATTAGGGATTTGGAGATTGAGATATTGGGGAGGGATTGAGGGAGCGGCTAGATTAGGTTACTTTACTCAAACGGCGAAACAACGCTGTGGTTGTTTCACGCCGGTTTTCTGTGAGAGGTATCACTCCGGTCGAGCCGACCCATTCGTGCCGAAGCATGGCTCTCCCACATTTTTCAGTTTTTGTTTTTCACTCTAAGAGTGTTTATGGGCGGTTTCGATTGCATACCATCAGGTTATCCGCCAGATCGTTTGCAGACTTATGCTTTTTAAAAATAAAGTAGTGTATCCTAATTCTACACTATATTGTACTCAGTCTTGTATACCGTACGTTATCGAAACTTTAGTCTTAAATACTCATAACATCTTTGCAGGTCGAAGGTGTAGGCACAATGAAGCAAATATTCAAAACACTTTGGGCAGAAGAAGGCCTAGTAGGTCTGTACTTCAAAGGTCTGTCGGCGCGGCTGCTACAGTCAGCCTGCTTCTCATTCAGCATCATCCTTGGCTACGAAAGTATCAAGAGAGTCGCGCTCAGCGACGAGTTCAAGCCCAGAGTGCGTTGGTGACGATAATAAATAACTTACGTATAGTTTTTGTGTTTTATTTTATATATGTTGGCAGTATTACAGATTAACCCGACATGTCGTCAGCCAATTACAGACTGACTTAATGACGTTATGTCAATTACAGGTTCCCCGAAATGTCGTAAACCAATTACAGACTGACTTAATGACGTTATGTCAATTACAGGTTGACAGATATGTGCTATGTCAATTACCGACTGACTTACTGACGTTGTGTCAATTACAGACTGACTGGGAAAAATAACAATTGAAGACTGACTTTCAGCTACAATCGCAGTTATAGACTGACAATATGTTAATTACAGATTAGGTGACTCGTATAATTTTTATAACAGAATCGTCATTAGTTTCATTATGGAAGGTCAATTACAGATTGACTTACAGACAGTTAATATTAATTACAGATTTACTGATATGGTATGTTAATTACAGACCTACTGTTTTATAGAATGACAAATTGACAGACGACTTCACATCTAAAGACTATATGAAATAATTGCGTTTGTAGCTATAACTGACTGGCATATTAAGTATTGGAGAAAAGTGGTCGACTAGCTACGTAGCGTGAAATATCTACAGTGGACCGGTAACATCTAGTCTATATGGATGCAAGTGCAAGGGCCAGTTGTGTGTCCGTTCGAGTTGTATGATGAATAAAATAGAATAGAGTTCTTTATTTGCAATGAATGTAGGTACAAATTATTTGGTGTTACACAGTTTTAAGGTTCCTTATACATTCTACCATAATTGGCATGCAAATCCATATATGAATCGCAAAATATGTTGGTAAGCGCATAACTCAATAACGCCTGGACCAATTCTACTGATATTTTTTTTTTGTTATGTGTGTTATTGTCAGGAGAAGGTTCTTTTGAAAGAAAATTTTAGAAAAGTAGAGTAGAGAGTTGGGTAATAGGGACTCTTTCGTCGTAAGCGAGATGATGAGACCCGTGCGAAGCAGGGGCGAGCTGCTAGTTTACATTAAAAATAAAAATTTTAAACTTATCATCCAAAAACTCTTGTACTGATGATGATGATGATTATTATGATTACAGAGTGATACAGACTAGCATAGTAACAATTTCATACTAACAGATTCAAGCGCGGATCCACTCTTCAAAAATGGTTGTGGTCACAGCTATTAGAAAATCGGCTAAGTATGAGTCGGAGCGTGGACATGCTCATTAACAATCATGCAAATCGTTTATGAACTTATGAATTAGATTTCCTTTTTTCTGAGCATCAGGACTTTGGCCTTAGGAATGTAAATAAACTTAGGAAGAAGTCGGACACGATTTCTTCTAATTTCTAATAGTCATTAGTTCAGTGTATTAAGGTTGTGGGCATGCCCATCGTGCCCACAACGGTGGATCCGCCCTTGAACAGAATCCAGTAGTTTCCAGCTCGTCAAAATCAATAATGTTAGAAACAATATTTCTTTATTAACATAGTATGAAATCGTAACAATATGTTTAGGTCAAATAGCAAAATTATTTCTGAGAAATTCGCTAGAAATTTATCTGGAATTGAGTATAATATGGTGAAATAAACATAATTTATAGTGCAGGTGGGGAGCGAATTAGGACTCAATATAATTAACAGCTTAATGTTCAAGAAACAACTTTGCACACAGATTATTTAACATAAGTTGCCGTTTCGAATGTCTGGCGGCCATTCGTCAACTTGTGGCACGCTCTCGCGGACTACATCGGAACGACGCCTTTGGGTTGCCAGCGCATACCGCTATACCGTATATTTAAATAATTAATAGAATAGGAAACTACCCAATTGTAAGAATTATTGTGTGGATTAAATTAATATTGGGCACTAACATATGTGTCAGTTCCCACTAAATGTGCCACTGTCACGAACCTAGTATTTTTCTTGTGCGGGGTGGTAAATCATCAAATGACTTCTCCCGCGCAGGATGGGGCGGGTAGGAGTATCAGACTCTTACTGACCCGGTCCTTCTGCTCTAGGCCGAGGGCGCGGTTCCTCAGGAGTACTCAGGACAGACTTAGTTTGACATAGCAAAAATAGTGCACGGCACTGGCGCCCTCTGCTCTTCTTAATGACAGGAGAGATATTAGTCTGTTGGCAGTATAGTTGACAACATTAATGACTGTTTTCAACCAAGGAAAAAAATGTCCGCTAAGGGGATACGGCACTGGCGAGTTAGAAAGAGATGGAATGAAATTAAAATTAAAAGACATTTTTGATGACAAAAGTCACTTTATTTACCAAATTTATAAATTACACTTAATAAAAGATAGCTTGATCTCTGGGACAGCTGTCAGTAAAATCGCGCCTATGAAGTTTTGAACTTAACAGTACGGAGAAACGTACCTGTCAATGTCATACTTTATGGGCATGCTGACCTAATTAGTGATGAGGAAGAATCATCGTGACCACATCCTATAAACTATCGACATTTTTTCTTAATTCAAAATTAATTTCTCATTTCATTTTATTGTATATTTTAAAATAATAACATTATTTACAATAGTGCGTAATTAAATTTAAATACTACTCATGTAAAATTCCATTCGACAACTTTGGGTTTCGGGAGATTCTGAAAGTGATTTGGATATAGATTTGGGGTGTACTGCTTTGGAGAAATTTATCTTAGATTAAAATATTCATTTTATTTTAGTACCCAAATTATTTTCCAATTATAAATATATTTTTAGCATCGATAAGTAAGAAACGTCGAAAATTACTATCGATATTTTTTTGTATCATGACAACCCTAGGAATGTCAGTTTGATGAATGTCGCAGAGATCAAGCTATCTTTTTTAAGGTATAATAAACAAAACATCAATCATCTATTCGATAGAAATTACTGTAGCGAAGAGATGACCCATTGTGTAGAAATGACTAGAATACAAAATCTTAAATCTAATATATTATTTTTTTTCAACTGAGCAGGCAACCGAGTCTCCAATACTAAGTATAGTCGACAACATAGTATTGGAGAATCAGTTGCCAACAAAAACAAAAAAAAAATATATATATTAGATTTAAGATTTTGTATTCTTGTCATTTCTACACAATGACAAGAATACAAAATTTCAAAGTTTCTAATTTTAAAATAACCGTTTTGAAACTTGTCATACGTCAAATCAGGAGCATAGATGGCGCCACCAGCACTATCTTCAAGAAACTTACTTAGGTAGTACATAACTGAGTTTGTTGAGTTTTTATAACTTGATATATTACGCGTGAGTACAAAGTTTCATTAAAATCGGTTGAGTAGTTTCTAATTGATTTTTAATTTGAAAGTTTGTATGGAAAACTGCGCCTTTAAGCTTTGTTTTTTATGTGATAGGAACGGCAAACGAGCAGGCTTACTACTGATGGCCTGATGGAAGGCAATTAGCGCGCCCATGGACACTGTCAACAACAGAGAAGTTACGAGTGCGTTGCCGACCATTTTGGAATAAGGGTGGTGAAGTTTTAGGGCTTGCGCCTTCGGTAACCTCGCGGCAAAAAACAACGCTGTGGTTGTTTCACGCTGGTTTTTTTTGAGGCCGTGGTATCTCTCCGGTCGAGTCGGAGCGGAACCCATTCGTGCCGAAGCATGGCCCTCCCACACTTAGTTCTTAAACCTTACCCGTCTCAGCTCGATTCCTATAAAGTTTATTATGATGTCGCTCCCCTAAAATATGTCCTATCTCATTGACACGATTGAAATAAACACTACAGATGTCGCAATAATATTTGTTAGCATCTATTTTAGATACGGAATTATGTAATAACAAATTTCCATATAATTTTTCATAGAGCAAGGCCGTAGGGTTTATACCATGTGTTTCATATAAATATTTGACCATCTCTGTCTTATTAATTTTCTTGTTAGCTTGTAACATTAATACGTGTTCTTTATTTTGTATATGGCCTAAAATATCAATAATGTTTTCTTTGCAAAACCCACAAAAGTAGCTCTTAGATTTTTTTTCGACGCGATGGAATTGAAATAAAGTTTTCTCATATGTTTGATGTACATCCCCCTCCATATGTTTTATAACTATTTTATTATCGTTACGGAATTCTAACGGACATATTTCGCATTGAAATTTTTCGCTTCGCTCGCAATAATGTAGCAAGAGTGTGTACAATTGCATTTTTTCTAATTCTATGTGTTCAGCGCTTGTCATGTGTTCGTTGATCTCGGATTCTTTCTTTGTTAATTCAACGTTGCATACTGTGCACAGATTTAAATTTTCATCAATATCTTTTAAATCCATTCGATAGTCTTTTGGAATTTCTTGGCCATCTTTCTCTGAATTAGAATCAACTAGAAACGGTTTACACTTATGCGTTTGCGCCAAGTCATCCTTCTTGACTTGAAACCCACATGTTTTGCAAAATTCTTTCGCAGGAGACATTTCTTTTAGGTTATCCAAGTGCCCTTTCTCAACTAAATGATGTTTTACAGCGATATTATTCAGAACAACTTCGCATAAATTACAAGTGTAGATACCAGAAGCCCTTTTGCTTATAAAGTTTTGTGCGCGGATTATTTTCAAATGGCTTTTCGAGTCTAGATGTTTAAAATATTCAGTCAATTTTATATGTTCATTACAAGTAGCACAGAATACGCTGGCTGGTACTAAATTTGTTTCTACTGGTATAACTGATGAGGAAGCAGCTTTTCTATGATTTTCGCTTGTCAAGTGAAATTTCGAGTCGATCAGAACTGCTTCGTTGCAAACGATGCAGTGGCCGGGTTGATGTTCGTGTGTTGTGTTTGAGGTGAGCTGGAAATATAATTGGATTAAAAGTTAATTTTATTGTGAAGTATCGTGGCTTTTATTTGACTTATCATCTACCATCATTAAGAGGCTAAACTAGGAACTATAGGAATTTTTTTTCAACGTATTTTGTCTTGTGACAATTCTACTATACTCGGAATTTTAATTCCATTCCAGATTTGACAATTTCAGTGTTGCAACGTTATGACACGTACTAAATAGTGACGTTGCGAAATTATTCGATATGGATATCGAATATTTCTGAATCGATTCCTCTCGTTTATAAATTTACTCTCGTAAACTAAGTTTATCAGGAAATAAAATATTTCTGAACCGATAATTTAGTTTTGACAATTAATTAACGTTCTGAGACTTTTCTTTTGTAATTGTGTGTGAAATTAATAAAAAATGTGATCATGAAGGAACGTGACTAATAAAACAGACATTTTATAAATTGTCGCCGTTATCGCTATCGCTATCGCTGTTATTTTCTGTAAAATTTATTATGAATTGTGTCTGTGATTTTTATTGTCAATTAACATATCTAGCTTACTCGTTTTTTCCTCTTCTTTGAAAACATGGGATACACATTTAGACCATTCGGTAGCCGTAATTTTTTGAATGCCTTCCTGAACCTGATTCACTGATTGTTTATCGATTTTTGTGTTCATCACTACACTGTTATATGTGGTATCATTATTTCACAAAATGACAGTGGTCAATGTCAAATCAGGAATCGAATTAAAAGTCTGACTATAGTGACTTTTCCCACCCTGGAAGGGGAGTGTCAGATTCTTACTGACCAAAAATCACACCGCTTTCCTGTTCCTGTCCTGAGCATATATCATAGCGGTTAAACCTGCAAGCCTGCAACCTGGGCTGGATATCCTGTCCTAGTAGGCTTAGTCTGTGGTGAACTGAAGAGCCTTTTTGCTTGCCCGCCGTCTTTCATTGCCTCGGCCGGGGTTGTAGGTTAAGAGCAATTATATTCTGCGGCCCCGATGTTTTTAAGTAAGTAAGGTTCTGACACTACCTCTTGCCCCACCCAAGCCCGGATAAGCCATTTGATTAAATTTCCCTAGTTAAGTGTTACACCATCCCCAATCCCTATTCTATAAATCCGCAACGCACTGCCAATAAAACAGCCAAATTCGGAAATTTTACTAAAGACTAAGTTCACTGCTAAGCAAAGGCTTCTTCCTACATTGAGAAGGTTTACAGAAGAAGAGGGTGTGATTTCGAAACCTGGCAAGTACCAATGTCACTTTTCCCGAGTTATATGTACTTTCTATAATTATTTAGACACCACTGACATACGGTGAAGGTAAACATCGTGAGGAGACCTGGACTTTTTTCTAATTATAAGTTTATAATCGCCAACCCGCATTGAGCAAGCGTGGTGATTAATGCTCTAACCTTCTCCGTATTAGAGGCCTTTGCTCAGCAGTGGGCAGTTATAGGCTGATGATGATGAGAAGGTTTGAGCATTAATCACCACGCTTGCTCAAAGCAGATTAATATTTGGTATGTATGAATATAGCAAATACTTCTTGAAATGTTACGAATAGTTTTCTGAAAACTGCATTACAATCAGTTCTCAAACAAAACAAACAAACAAAAAAACACATGAAAAAACATAAAAATACCTTACCTCTCTAAAAAAATTCTCATTGATAGGCAAAAGTACAAGTTTGACGTGCCGCTCAGAGATTTCATGAGAGCTCAGACTTGTTGTAAAATCCTGAATCCAAAACTTGCACAGTTGACAGTAAATTTTATTGCAAATAACTTTGTAACTATGAAAATACTGTTGCAAAACTTTTATTTTAACACCATTAGTACTTTCTAAAACCACGTAATCCCCTTCCGTATTAATTTTCGTGTTAACATTGAATTTATCGATAATTCTTTTCAAATAATTATCGAAATTTATTGTTTTAGTTTCCGATACATTTTGTAGATCAATCTGTTGTGGGGCTGTCACATTATTCTTTGTTGCATCATTTTGAGCTGCTGTGATGTGTTTTGGAAGACCAATTAGTTGATTGAGACTTTGATCTGGAGTTACAACTTTTGATTTTTCAAGACAATTTAAATCTAAATGAGATGCACTGTTATTATTAATACTAGCTAGTTTTTCAAAATTATTTTCTTTATTTTGACTTACGGAAGGAACAGCAGATGTGTTTTCTAGATTGTTTTTAAATTCAATAAATCTTTGTTTGAGAGAAACATAACGGCGGGTGACGGATGATTTATCAAACTTTTGATCATCAATTTTGACTTTGTCTTTTTTAATGCCATTTAGATCTTCATTCGATGACTGGTAATCATCAATACCGTCATCAGAATAATCACTGCTTGTCTCATTTCCTTGATCGAAGTTTTTACGATCAATATCAATTTTATTGTCACTGTCTTTAGATTCATTGTCTTCAATACATTTAGTCAATTCTCTTTCGTAATATTTACAAAAATACATAAAATTGTCATCGTTATTTTTTGAATCTTCGTTGACTTGATTATTGTTGTTAACGACTATTTCTACGTCACAGTCATTATGGTTTTTATTCATTGTCTCTTTATCATTATCGTGATACCGACAATAAATTTGATGATTCGTAACTCCGGTAAGTTCATAATCTTTATCAGACTTATTAGGCGTGTCATCGCTGTTATCACTTAGAGATTCCGTTGTTTCAGTAACAGTATTAGAATCTTCATCGCTATCGTTACAATAGTTATCTTTTATACTGTCTCTATCATCGTTGTTTACATTATCTTTGACATCTATACTGAATAAACTATTGAATTTATTCAATATATCGTAATTGTCCATTGAGTTTAAATGTTCAGTAGACGTCTCATGTTTTAGTTTATCGTTCAAACGAATAATCTTGCAACAAATGTCACAAAAGTACATTGTATGATCTAGTTTTTCTGTCTTTGTAATTTGTTCTGTATTCATATGTTTAGATATTCTTCTTAGAGCTGTGTTAAGTATATTTTTGTTAGTGTTTTGCTGTGAGCTTTCTTTGTGAGCTAAATGACAAGCGATTGGTACTTGTTTGTTGCAAATGTGACATAAGTAGGTTTGCGTTAGCACTGTAACGGATAAAGTTATTGAATGTTAATGAGATGAGTGAAATAAAATATATTCTATAAACATTGGGACTAAAACGATATACGCATCGAATAAAGGGACATTTAATTCTTCTGTTGCTTTATTGATTAATATTTTAATATGCTTTTAAAATCTAGGATCGTTCGTTCGTTGGTTAAAATATTGTACCAGTTTCTTGACAAGGGTAATACCATCCATTACTCTTGTCAAGCATCTGATAAGACAATATTTATAGGGGGGTAGTGGGGGCCCCGATGGGCCCATCTGTGGTGATGTGATGGCTCTTTGAAGAGCACGTGGAATGCAAAGCCTGTACGCGCGGATTTGGAACTGATTGAGCGGCTACCCTTGCTCGCCGACCGCAGACCCGCGAAGTAAAAAAAGTCCAAAAATTCATTCACCAGGCTCTTTTGAACGTCAAACAAAATTTTTAAGATAGATAAGATTACAAAACATTTCTTATCTAATATTTTTAAAAGAATATCGAGTGAGTTTCTTCCCCTTTTTTCTCTTTTCGAATCTACATTTTAGAACGGTTGTGTTCTAAATTTTTAGGTATCCATATCTTTTGAAATAGATATTCAGCGAAGTCTAAGCTAAACAGGGTCAGGATGTGATTATGTCGCTGACACAAAATCAATGCTACCGAAAGTTTTAAATCAATAGCGTAGGAGAGCCATGCTTCGGGACGAATGGGTCGCCTCGAAGAGAGTGCTGACACATGGCCTTACAGAAAACCAATACTTTGTATTTCGCCGTATGAGTCGCCCCCCCCCCCCCCTCGCTTATCCCTAAACCTCCGGAATATTAAAAGCGAAAGGCCGACAATGCACGTATAGTAACTCCTCTGGTATTACGGGTGTCCATGGGCGGCGCCAGTTGCTTACCATCAGGTAATCCATCTGTTCGTACCCGAATTATGACATAAAAAAATTAAAATATAGTTCTTATTAGGTTCTCTATTCAATTTTACATGGATGCAATGCTGATACTATATCTCTCGACTATTTAATGGATGTTACTATACCTACATAATATAAACCAGAGGTTCCCAAACTTTTTTTTCTGATAGACCACTTTAAACATTTTGTTGGATCTGGTGGACCCCCTGCAGCTATTACATTTACTAACTTACTTGCAAAACCCGAAAAAGTATATGTCTATGTAAATCTGTGTCTATTTTTTTTCAATCAACTATGAGTTTTCTAAAAAAAGGACTCACAGTATAAGAAACCAATAAGCTCCCACTTCGGAGTGGTAAAAAGTAAAAATATTTCTTTTCCTGTTTTTTAACTATTTCTCCAAACACAAAAATTACTACACTTTTAATTATGTTGTTATAACAGTCTTAGTAGAATCAAAATTTAACATCAAAACTAATAATCACTAGTATTTTAAAAACAGTCGCAATTTAATCAAAATTTTGATATTGAAATTTTGCGACTGTTTTTAACATAATTATCATTATTAGTTTTGATGTTAACATTTATCTCAAATTACCATTGTAATCTGAGATCAAGATCCAAGACTTTGTTGCTTAAAAGACACATGGACAATCGCTTGTCTGTATTTGATGGAAGAAAACCAAATTTCAAATATTCAACACTGTATTGTCGACACTTTTTCTTAGATTCAGCAATGCTTCGTATCCATTTTTTTGAACACTTTCTTTTTTGATTTTCCGGAAACAACTGAGTGATGTTTATTATTCACATTACTATTTATATTAGGGAAAATCCAACAAGTTCATGTAAGTTCAGATACCACTTTAACTAAGCGAGCAGGCGGCGCGGAATCGGCGAGTCTTGACACGCTCTTTCTAAATATGCAATATGCAAGTTATACCTTAAACAATTGCTGAGCTTCTTATAATTTTGTCTTCCTATATATATATATATATATATATATATATATAGGTATTCATAGGAAAAGTCAAGCTTCTATGTCTGCCTATATTATTGTCTCCCTATATTCATAGGAGAAGTCAAGTTGGGTCACCTAATACATTTTTATAGACCCCCGTTAACGAGTTGTGGACCCCCATTCTTTTTCCACGCAAGCGTAGACCCCTGTTGGGCTCCCGTGGACCCCTGGGGGTCCACCTGGACCACTTTGGGAATCTATGATATAAACCTTCCTCTTCAATCACTCTATCTATATAAAAACCGCATCAAAATCCGTTGCGTAGTTTTAAAGATTTAAGCATACATAGGGATATAGGGACAGAGAAAGCGACTTTGTTTTATACTATGTAGTGAAGACAAATCCTTTGCTGAGCATAAAAAAAATTAAAATATATCATTCACTCACCAGAATAGGAAATATCAGGATTCTCTATCATTTCTTTAGATATAATTTTGACCTCATAGTATTCAGACTCTCCTTTCAACTGTGCATTAGACCATAGCTTCATCGGTCTGTCATTTGGTCTTTCCATATATTTCCTAAGATGTAATAAGTCCAGTTCTTCAACAGGAATGATGTATGAAACATTTTCTGTCAGAATATTCATTTTTCCCTGAAAAAAATAAGATGTTTCTAAAACAAGTACCTAGTTCACTTCCAGTTTTATTATCAGAACCGCTAAAGAGTGTGATTATTTACCGTAGTCTATATTTCCCAAGAAGTAGAACCTGGGTGTCTTGAAGGCCTAAGTGAATAGGTTGCTTATGGGTAAGTATACTCCATTATAGGTTGCATCATCGCTTTCCATCAGGCATCATAGTAACCAATTGTCTACCCATTACAGATTAAAAAACATTTTTGCTTAGGTTTGTCATTATCAAAGATTATATAAACACTACAAGGAGTATGTAAGTAAACACTATGTTCTAGTCATTATAAGACACTATAAGCTCACAATGAATTTCCAGACTTGGCTAGTCTGGATCGCGGGTAAGTCAAGTTTTTTTTGGGAATGATCCTGTTGACTTCTCAGTTTGTAGTTGGTTTCATGGTCTTAAAAAGTATGATACTAAACTTTGTTTTTATAAATTAAGTGTTTTCACTGTGGTACCTTAATAATGTAGCTACATTGATGGAAGACAGTGATACTCTATGTGGTCTGTAGAGCCCTCAGCAAAAAAGCTCTCTATCTGCTTTCAAACACTACATAAACTATAACAATAAACAATAAAAACAATAATTCTTTTGTTAAAATAATAACAATAAAAAACTATTTTAAAATAAAATGTATTAATTAATTTACACCTTTTTTTTATTTTCAAAAGTGTTCTTCTGCTAAAAAGTTTGTGAACCACTGGTGTAAGATAGGTACCAATACTACCAATAATACTGAATCTCAGACTTTAAGGGACATGAACAAACTGTGACAATAAAATTTTATGATGATTTTAATTTAGTACTTTACATTCACTCTTTGAAGTGGAGAAGGAATATTAAAAAATCACACAAATTTCGTCTCAAAAACTGTATATTACCAAGTTTTTTTATTAAATTGCAAATTATTGACCACTGAATGCATTTCTAAATATTTTGAAAATACAACATATATCTAAATAACTTTGATAAAATGAATCGACAATAATGAAAAGCAATACATTTTAAATAATAATAAATATTAATCTAATAAGAATCCTAAAAAATCACTTCAAAATAAATTTATAAAGATTAAGTTTATAGTTATGGCATACTACTTACGTGAAATTATGAATGAAAGATAACACAATAAAAAGATTTATACTCACTACATTACTTAGTTATTTCTAATTAACACTAAAACTGTTAAGAATCACAATAAAATAATAAAATGAACAAGTTTTCTGTTTTCTGCCGTTTTTATTATCATAACAATAATTTAGCGGGCGTCCGCTCCGCTCGCACCATTGAGATAGAAAATATATAGAGGCGCCCTGTTATTATAGATGTATACCTGCTTATACAAATATGGGTTAAATATGAAACAAACTATGAAATATAGTTTTTTCTCACTCTTTCTTAGGCAATAATTGTATTAGACAAAAGGGACAACAATATTTAAGTTGTTGCTTATTATGGCAACAAATCATTTTGACATTAGCAAAGTTGTAGGTAAGTGCCATGTCCGCCATCTTAAGCGCTCAGAGTACCTGAGTTTCATGGTAGTTGTGCTGTCAAACGGTTGTTTATGTTTTCAATTATTGCGGTTTTCCAGTAAATTACAAAGAACCATTGTTTTAAACTGCAAAGATATATAGTGAAACAAAAATACAATATGCCTGTGTGTTGTATTGTGCAGTGTGGTGCAAAAAAGAACGAAAATCAACCTAAATTGTCTTTGCATAGGTTAGTAAACAGTTTTCATCAAATATTACTTAAAATAATCCACATAGATAGAAAAAATGTTACGGATACTTGAATCTATTGCCAAAGTATATATATTTACTTCTATTTCTGTCTGTGAGACAGTTTAAGTAAAAAATTGTTGTTTACAATAATATGTCAATATGGCATAGTTACGTACCATTCCACAAAAGTATCGATATAATCTCCCATTTAAAATTCAACATAATATATTATCCTAAATAATCTATTTTGTGTAAGGCTAAAGTAAGACGTCAGTATTTTGGTATTGGTTTTAGTTACATAAGTAGAAGTTCAAATTGTCATGTTTTATAATTATCCGGGCCCGATTGACAGAGCAGCGTTGGCGGCGATCCCAGTGCGACCACTAAGCATAATAATAAAAAGTGAGATATCATCGCTTAATCAGACGAGCCGAAATTGTGCGCGAGCACATCACAAATTCCAACAGGTGTTGCACATACGCATTTAAGGGGCCCCATATTTCGGCGGATAAACATTTAACAAAAACTATCTTTTTCTATTTTACCATTCCATTAAACGCTGTTCATAAACACAGTCCTATTTTTTAACTGACTTCAAAAAAAGGAGGAGTTTCTCAATTCGATTGTATGTTTTTTTTTTTTTTATTTAAAGACGCTTTCCGTACAATTATATGGATACAAATTCGACTTGAGAAAATCATTAGCCAATCAAGAGACCTAGGTAACCCCGGGTTCCGGGCTCTAGCTAGGCCGACGGCAAAGTAGGAACAGGAGTTGATTTTAGTCAGTAACGGTCTGTCACGAAAAGTGCCGGAGATGACATTAGATGATTTCCCATAAAAATATACCGTTAATCAGCTGGCTAATCCCTAAAGCTATACCTACGTAGAACTTATACTCAAATTGTATCGATACTCGTTAAATACGTAGTCGGCACAACCCTAGCAACGGCAGCCATCTTACGCGAAATTTTGGATTGTAGGTATGCACCTTTGTTTCGTAGGTATTTCAAGTCCTTATATTTCCTATGTCAATGGCTCGCACAAGAATGAAGTGACATCTCTTTCGTTTGACAGCTAGTTAGTTATGTTGGATACCTATTTTAGTTCAATAATGTATTGTAGTTTATAAACATTTCATATAAATTCGTTGTTGTTCCTCAAATAAACTTTTCAAAAATTTAATATTTTCAAACTATTCATATAGCCACAGTTAGAACTTAAAAGTGTCAAGCCTCCAAGAAGTAGATCTGCGCTGCTCCAATTGAAAAATGCATTATTGATGTAGCGTAGCGTTACCTACTATTAATTATTTTGCATCATTGCATAGGTACAATTCCTAGTTTGATTCCCGTACGGAATAACTTTGTGTGATCTACAAACTGTTGTTTTGGGTCTGGGTGTGATGTGTATATGAAATTGTATCACGTCAAGACCACCCATTTGTGCCGAAGCATGGCTTTCCACACTTACATTTTTGTAGATTAGGAATGGAGATGGGGGAAGGATTTGGTCTCCATGAGTGTCTATGAGCGGCGCTGTTTTTTTACGTAATCTTTCTGCTCGTTAGCCGTCCTATCACATAAAAAAAGCCCAAAAAGAGTTTCAAGTGCGTTGCCGTCTTGCCGTAGTCCTCTATTATGCATGCCCATGAGCGGCGTCGATGGTGACCTGTTTCATATTATCTGGTAGTACGTCAAGCCAAACGAGCAAATGACCTGATAGTAAGCAATAAGCGCCACTCATGGACACCTGCAGCACCAAAGGAGTTACATACGAGTGCATTGCCGTTCTTTTGGAGTTTTCAGCAGTGGGGCCCAAATCAAATCAAATCAAAATCATTTATTCCAACTAAACCATAAATAGGTACTTTTGAAACGTCAAAATAGAATAGTAGTCTGTCAGTCTGTTCGTCAGTGAAGCTAGGTGCTCGTTCCAAATTGTAGTTTCGAATGGAGAAGAACAAGCAAGAAACTCCATCGTTACTCTTTTTAAAAAAATATTTGTTTTACAATTCACCAATAATACATTTTTTATACATTACTGTACCCCTATACAGCCCGTTTCCGACTACTCATTTTTCGAGCTATACTATAGAAAAAGATATTTTATTATGTAAGAATTTATTATAAAAACATATTCAACTAGTTAACGTCAATAAAATGCGGGTTAAATTCTTCTTCTAGCATTATGGGTATCAAAATAAATGGTTCTACCATTAAAATTATCTTCCCCTTTCCTCCTGATTTCCATTTCTCCATAGTTGTTAAATAATATTTCTATCTGTTCAACTTTTTCGTTGTCATATCCAGCCTTTTCAAGCGTCCGTAAACCTTTCGCATAAAGACTTTCATCCAATTTTTTCAACATCTTAGCAGCTACTTTTTCCGTTAACAAGTCTATCATTTTCGATGACGACCACTTGTCTAATTTAGCGTTGATATCGATATTATGGTTCTTATAAACGTTTTTCTGTTTTACACCTGCATCCTCATTGTATCGTAGGCTTGGAGTTCTTTTCACTTCGTCCAAATGAACAAATGTTGACGTCAAATCTCCTTTATACTTCTTTGTGTGTCTTTTTTTAAATGTAAGACGTTTGGTAGCAAGTGTACTTGAAAGATAAAAGGGTAAACGAGGAGAATTCTCGCCTGCGTCTTCTCTAGACAATTCTTCGGAAGAATTTAAACCATTTTTCTCATTATTTATCCGTGCTAAATCGTATGGTTCTATTTCTTCGGAACTCTCCCATTTTTTTGAACGTAATTCACCAGAATCAAATTCCCCTTTCCCTTCGTGCTTGAGTTTGTAACTGGCTACATTCGGAGAAGTGTGTATTTTCTTTACTTTGTGTGTAGTTTTATTATAACTAATATATTTTGTGACTTTTTCGTAAGGATTGTTATTATATGATAATATATTATTATTATACTCGTCATTTCTAAGTGCGCCTCGCTCCTTTTTCTGATTGCCATGTTTCATTCGAGATATTTCTTTTTTAATTTTGTTTTTTAAAATATTCTTACTATTTTGTTTATTCTTTCTATGTTTTTGTGATTTATGTTTTTCAACTTTATCGTTTTTAAGCATGTCGGTTTTTACTGTATCCGAAGGAGTCTGCTTAGCCATCTTCTTTCCTTTTAGTTTATTTTTGTAATATTCCTTCAATTTTTGTCTAATCATGTCTTCCATTATTTCAGATTTGATTGGATTTTTCTTGGATTCCT